TAAAAAAAAAAAAAAAAAAAAAAAAATCTCACCAAGTTTTCCAGGCTCCTCTTGGACTTGATTCTCCCTGCCTTACCCTCCCCAAGCAGCTGGGATTACAGGCATACGCCACCAAGTCCAGTCAGCCTAGTAACATTTTGACCACTTTCCTCTGTGTATAGTTTTCCTGTTCTTTTAAATGATTATACGGTATACTCTAATATGGATATTTCATTATTTATAAAATCAGTCCCTACTAATAAATATTTGGGTTGTTTATAATCTGGTATTTGTCAACTATCACATATTGTTTGAAAATAAAAACAATAAAATCCTTTGCACACTGACATTAATTTCAAAAAATGAAATTGTTGGGTCAAGCTATTTATATGTATTAGAGATTAGAACCCATATTGTTAAACTGCTACCGCAGGTTGTAAAATTTCATATTCCCACACATGATATAACAAAGTATTCTTGTCCTCAATCCCCCAACACAGGACCATACCAAACATTTTAATTTCCCCCAGTGTAAGGCAATATTGAACAACAATACTGAACAAACAATACTGCATTACACTTTTTCATTTGCCTTTCTTATTAAGAATGATGTCACACTCTTTCACATATCTAGGAAGTACTGATTTGCTTTAATGGGTTTTCTTCTTATGCGCTTTGACAATTTCTTTTTTTTTTGGTACTAGAGATCGAACTCAGGACCTTCTGTTTGAGGCAGGCAGGAAATCCACTGAGCAAAATCCCCAGCCGTACTTTGACAATTTCTTAGTAGGTAGTTGATTGATTTCTTAATAGCTTTAGGATTTATTTATTGAGAAATTAATTGTGATAGGTGTTTAAAATGTACTATATTGCCAGGCATGGTGGTGCACACCCGTAATCTCAGCACTCGAGAGGCTGAGGCAGGAGGATCGCTGTGAGCTCAAGACCAGCGTGGGCTGTGTATTGAGTTCCAGGTCAGTCTCAACTACATAGTGAGATCCTGTCTCAAAAAGACAAAACAAAACAAAAAAGTACTATATTATGCAACTTAAAATGTTTGAGAATAGGGGTCGGGGATTTAGCTCAGTGGTTCTGCTGCCTGCCTTGCAAGGACAAGGACCCGAATTCAATCCCTGGTACCAAAAAAAAATGTTTGAGAAAAGAGCCTGGGACATTAATATTACAGTGGACCCTTGACTTACAAACTCATTGGTTCCTCAGGGCTGGGTGGAACTCAAGTTGGTTACAAGTCAATACAGCTGACATCTGTTTACCTGGGTGCACGCTATAGATAAAAAGAGGCAGATTAATCTTCCATTAACTTAATTAACTCAAGTTGTTCATGTATCAGGCTGGTTGCAACTTGAAGGTCCACTGTATTTTGAATATACAAAAATTTGAAATGGCAAAATTCAGTAATAATTGATTTTCAAAAATCCAGTGCACACACAAGTAAAAATTGCTGGGGAGTTGATCTGTTCAACCTTGACATTTCACAAACTCCATATATAGTTGTATCATCTCCTTATTTGAAAATGTGAACTCAAAGTAACTTCCGAGAAGAATGTTTTAAAAGCAGATTCTAGAGTTAATCTTTCAACTTCTGAAGCAACAATAAAAACCACAGATGAGATAAAATGTCCCCACTCACTGTAGAATCCATCTGATTGTATCTGGCAATGTCTTTATGCAGTGTTCGTAACATAATCATGGCCACCATTCCGGATAAGAAGAGAACAATAACGAGGGAATTCATTATGCTGTAGAAATAAGCACATCATGATTCACTGGTAGCTTCATCTATAGGACAGTTTAAAGTTTCAAAAGAACCCTGTTCATTGTGTAACATTAAAACAGCACTAATCAAAATTAAAACTACTAAAAGCCAACAAATTCGGTCACTTGTGTTCTTTCACGTTTCTTTCAAGTGGATCTACAGCTTTAATACTTATCATAATACAGATTCTGATTTTGCAATTTTAGATTGACTGACTGATTTACAGTGCTGAGGATCAAACTCAGGACAAGCACTCTACCACTGAGCCACTCCCCCACCCCCAGCCCTTCTAGTTTATAGTCTGTTCAGACTTGGAATTTTTTTGTCCATGATCAACATTATTAAATAACTACTGGGCCTAAACCTCTGTAGTATAGGCAGCAAGGAATCAATACAGGATTGGCCTGGGCCCTCCAAAAATGTATGAAAGAAAAAGTTTGCTCTGTAGTTGAATGGGTGTCAAAAGGATTGGTCAGAAAAGTTAGAAAAAGAGAATCATGGCAGGATGAACCAGCTTCTAGATGAGAGTTCTGAGTCATGCTTCGGACAGAATGACAATAGTGAAACAACAGCAGCAGCTTCTATTTACAGAGCACTCATACACGCCAGTCATGGCCTCAGATGTCATCTTAAATCCTCAGAACAATCCCACGAACTAGATTCTTCTAGACAAAAAAGCAAACCCTGAGGAATACGTGGCCTGCCTTGACAAACAACTCATGACTTAAAGCCAAGGTGTGCACTCAGGTCTGGACCTCTGAATACTCAGGAGAGGATGCCAGAGTGAGTGAGTGGTCTGCAGACACAAGGGGCACAATAGGCAGGTAGGCAGACGCAGACTGTACACTTACCTAAACCACTGAATGTGGGTGTGAGGCATAGACTCCAGAATATAGTCCCATCTAGATGCCCATCTGATATTTTTGTCTTCCTGGAGGGGGAAAGAAAAAAACTCTTAAAAGTCTTGCTTACAACTACAGCTAGTAGCAGGGGAATGGGGAAAAAATAAGAAACGAGATATATCACATAAAGGTACAAATGCCCAATGATGAATGTCATCGAATTGTATATCTAAAATGTACCAATAAACTCAATTTAAAAAAAAATAAAACTACAGCTAGTAAAGATTTTATTTTATTTATATTTTGGTACAAGAGATCGAACTCAGGACCGTGCTCTTTCGAGGCAGGTGGTGGAACCACTGTGCTAAATCCCTGGCCCTAAAGATTTATTTTTATGCCAAATTTTAGAGCTATATTTAATTTGTTCAGAAAATAACTGAAAGGAATAACTTATTCAGACCACAAATTCACAATCCAAATGCACGGAGTATCATGCAAATTTCACTCACACTGCTCTTAATACTTAGAAATAATACTGTTTTACTCTGCTGGGCTTGCAAAATTAAAAAGTATATGAGAAAAAAAATTATATAAGGATATTAAATATCACAAATATAGTAGAAAGCTTTTAAAAAATAGAGATAGAGGACAGTGTGATGGCACACACCTACAATCCTAGCACTATGGGAGGCTGAGGCAGGAGGATTGCCAAATCTGAGCACAGCCTGGAAAATTAGTGACTCAGTGAGACTCTGTCTCAAAATAAAAAATAGGCCTGGGGATATAGCTCATGCAAAGGCCCTGGGTTCAATCTCTAGTACAGGAGTTAAAAAACAGAGGCAGAATATTACCTCAGTTTTTCACAAATTTTACTTTTCCTCTAAGGTATTTCTCCACTGATAAAAATACTTCCTTTGATTTCCTATGAAAATCTGCCAACAAGAAATTCTCCATTTATGTTCATACTCAAATTGTGTTTTGAAATTGGTATTATTTCCCAAATGCTTTAGGCATATGCCTTCAACACTTTCATACTGTGCCTATTTCTATGCCTGTTTTCTGCTCTTTGTTTCCTATATATCCCTGAAGGATGACACAAATCAGGCTCAATTCTCCAATTTCCTCTACCGTTTCATTTAAACTAAAACTTAGTTTTGAGAGTGATTATGTTCCTTAGTGTACTGACAAACTATTCTGAAAATCAGCTCATTAAATGCTTATCTATTTGACAAGCTTAATCATTAGTATTTTTAATTAGTTTAAGTAGTACACATTTAAAATCAATTTCTAAGTTATATTAAAGATAAAAACAAACTCACCTGGAAACTAACAGAATAAGTATAGGCAATTTTGATCTCCCCAGAGGCCTTGTTACTTATATCCATGGGAGGTCCAGAGCAGTCTGGTTTATCTATATGGGTATGTTTGAAGCTGTGGGAAGAAACATTTCGGCAAGATGCTGATAAAATGTTTTAGGAAATGGGGTAAAATAAATGTTAGACATTCTGTACATATTTCATAATGCTGCTAAGTGAAAGATGAATTATTCATGTCACATTTAAAACAGCAGATATTTACTTCATAAAACTAATGGGCTTAGTTATATGTGTACAAAATCATTACTCAAAACTGTAAACAACTTTTGAAAACACCTATGCTTAGAACACCATTAATTTTTCAAGTCAGGGTCTCACTATGTCACTTGGGGTGATTTTGAACTCTTGGACTCAAGGGATCCTCCTGCCTCAGCCTCCTGAGTACTGGGGGGACAGGCATACACTAGGATGCCCAGCTAAACGATCTTCAAAAAGAAAGAGCCACAGAGGCAGTTTAAATGAACTGCCACCCTATTATGGCGAGCATTTCTTTATCACTGGTGATGTGAGAAAATGGCTAATTCAGGGGCAGGAAAAGTCACAGCAAAATAGCATATTCCATCCACATAAAGTTCTTTCATGCAACACCCCCAGCAACCCCAGGAGATGCTCTTTCAGAGGCTCTTCACATACTGGCGTCCACCGCTAACACTGCATGGAGGCTTCAGAAACAACAGCACCATGCAGCTCCTGTGGCCTTTGTTCACAGGAAGGTCTTGCTAAGTCACCGGGCCAACCCTCAAGTTCTCTAGCTCACACTGACAAACCGAAATGCTCAAAACTTCCTGAATGAAAAACCTGAAAGACACCCTGGCCTGACCAGTTGCTGTGAGAGAGAGGGATAATTTCAGTTTCTCTGACAAATCCAATTCTCAGTAACCAGTCATATGGTAAAGGAATTTTAGTCACCATCAGTCCTGAAATGCCAGAAAAATGCTCAGGGAATATAGCATTTGGGACCAAAAGATTTCTTTGGATGCACATAGTATTTCACTCATTGATTTACTCTGTTATCTATCTGTATAGTTACCTTTTTGGTTCAAGTTTAGCAGCCACCAGTCTTGCTCCCATGGACCCCGTCTCAACAACATGATAGTATATTTTAATGTCAACGTGGTTGAAGATGTAAAATGTATCTCTCTCATGGAATTCTGACTATGGAATAGAACTTAAAGTTAAAGACCACAGGAGAATGGAAACAAAAAACTAAAATTGGTTACAAGTAGAAAAATCTAAGCTTGGAAAGATTTCTAATCCTTTCCCACAAAAATGTTTGAAGTTTTGAGCCTAAATTCCTTATAAGCTAAAAATTAATTTGGGAAAGTATAAGTCATGCTTTTTAAAGTCTTAATTTTTACATAAAATTTAATAAACACCTGTTCAAAAGAACAAAAATCTAACACTTTCTAGCTTTTCAGGTAAAATAAGATTAACAAAATAAAATTTAAAATATTCTGTTATAAGCAGTTCAAAGTTTACACATTTAAACACTTCCTCCTTTAGTTTGTAACTTTGGACTAAAACCGATAGTCTAAGTCATTCAAGTGTCTCTGGTTAACTGTCAGAAAAACATTAACCAATATAACCAGTTTCATGATCAGGTTCATGCTAACTTCTATCAGACCATATCCATTAAAAGAGTAAATTAGGTTACTTCAATCAAACACGTTATTTTAATATACATTACCAAAAATATTACTTCTATACTAATGTCTCTAATTTATTAATGTATTTTACTTGTAAAAGAATGACATCATAGAAGAAAGTCCTAAATCTTGAGCCAGGGATTTAGCCCAATGGCAAGTACAAGGTCCTGAGTTTGATCCCTGGTACTGAAAAAAAAAAAAAAAAAAAAAAAAAAAAAAAAAAAAGTCCTAGCCCTTAGCATTATACTTAGCATACAAGAGCCACTCAATGTTGAACAGAATCTGAATTATTTTAATTCTTCTGTTAAATTTATTTATTTATTTGTTTTTTTGTTTGGTACTGGGGATCAAACTCAGGACATTGCACTTACCAGGCAGACATGGTGCCACTGAGCTACATCCCCGGCCCTTCTGTTAAATTTATACACTATTAATCTGGCATCAATTTAAGATCTAAGTATTATACCCCAGAACATCTGAACTGTACTTATTCAGTGAATGTAACAATTTTTGTTAAGGTAAAAAATGAATTCTTTAAAAAAAAAAACATATTTTGAAAAGCAACATAGAGTTTATCACAAACTTACATTAATGACACAGGCATCTTTTGCATGGCCTTTATCTGTGATGTAGCAGCCAATAGGAAATCCAGGATTGCAGAACCTCTGACCATCTTCAACGTCGTAACACCATGTGACAGGCATATTATCTACAATCCTAGGCATGGAAGTAAGAGTCAAGTCAGAAGAGAACCCAGCAAACATGACTAAAGGTACTGGACAAATCAATGTCTACATTGTGTAAAATGTAAAAGGCTAAATGCCTTAGGATTCCAAAAACCACAAGGAATATTGATGAAATGTAGTATTTCATAAGTACTTGACATTATGCTAACATGATACACTACAGTGAGGAAAAAAATTTTATAGCTTCTTTGAAACTATAAATGTTAAGAAAGGAGAGTTTAATAAACTCATTTGTCACGATTGCTAATTTAGTGGTATAATCTAGACAACTAAGTATAATTTACCTTTAGAAGAACATTCAAAGTTCTAAATAGGTACAATGCAATAAAATATATTTCCTTGGGAACAGTTTACTGAATAGTACAGGAGCATATTCTTTTATTACTGAAGTAATTTAAAAAAGAATGTAACTGCAAAACAGGAAAATGTTCAGAGAGCCAGATAAAAAAGGTATAATTTATAGTATTATCTGTTAAAATTGTAATTGCAAATGATTTCCAAAAGAAATATTCCTTTAACTCTTTGATGATTTATAGTGAAAAATAGCTTTAAAAAAGGATAAAAGTAAAGAATAAAGTTCTGTAGTGTAGTAATGTAGTGTACAACTACATTAAAGTCTGAGCATGTGGTCCCATATATTCAGAGCACACTGTGGGATACAAATAAAAATTAGTCAAAATATACTAACTATATTACAGTCATAAGATGACACTCCAGGGCATGTTTTATTTGTTAATTAATGTATGCCCTAGGAAGTAAAATTAGGATTCTATATTCACATGAGGTGTACATTAATGACCTAATACAACATGTCTCGTCACATTTAAATGCTATTTAATAGTACCCAATGCCCTGAACTTTAGAATCACCTATACTATTAAGCTGCTTATTATGATAGCCAGCAGGGTACTAGTTCCAATGAAAAGACTATAAAATATTAGAAGCATAAAAAATGCTATTAAAATAAATAATTTAGATTTTCTAGAAGCCCAAAGAATCAGTTAATTACTTTAATTTTTTAGAGGATGAAGTTCAACCAATGAGTACATATAAGCAATATATAATACCTTTATGCTATCATACTAGAGAGAGAAAATTACACCAAAGTAAGAGTGGTAGTTACCAAATGAGGAATTTAAGGGCACTTTGGGTTTTTAAAAGGCAAACAAATTTATCAATTATTTATATAATGCTGTGATACAATAGCCTGTTTCTGGTAGCAGGATGCAGCAGAAACCAACAAACCTTTTGAAATAAAATTTAAAGAATATCACTTTTAATTACTGACCTCCTAAGTTACGGACAGTAATTACTTGGATTTCTTAACACCAAAAAAGTTAAAATCCTATTTCCAATCTGGTTAAAAAACAGAAGACTCAAAAGAATAAAGGTTGACTGGTCCCAACCTTTTGTCATAAAGGTCTCCTTCCTACTATTCCCCTCCAACCTCCATGGAGTCTGAACACTGCTACCAATCAAGCTTCATTTATTAGTAACTAAATTTTCCCAACAAATTAACTATAAAAGTTTCTGATCAGAAGAGAATAACCAAAATCCTAGCCCAAAGCAAAGAGCATGAGCACTTAAATCATCCCATGTGGTTTTGACATGAATAAATGTGTACTACCCATTCAGATTTTGAATTTTTAAAAATAACACATCAGTCCTCTTTGCTAACTTGGTGGGAATCTGGGATAGAATCAAGACCCCTTTCTAGTCCAGGGGTTCTATGACATTAAAAATATTTTATTTACTCTGGTAACTAGTTGAGTAATTACACTTTTCTTTTTTAAATGTCATAAAGGGCCAGGTGTATAGCACCTGCCTAGCATGCACAAGGCCCTGGGTCAATCTCTAGAGACACACACACACACACACACACACACACACACACACACACACCTACACACACACACACCTTCCTAATCCCAAACTCTGTAGAGGATAGCTGATGGGAATTCAAGTTGCTGTTGCTAGTAATAAAACACTAGTCAGTCTTAAGAATTAAGCCTGATGACAGAGTAAGCACAAAAGATCCTCAAACATGTTTTGATATCCCAAATAAGAAAGAAAAACATATTCATCAACTTAAATAAGAAAATTATTTTTTTTTCTTTTTGGTACTGGGGATCAAACTCAGGATCTTATGCTTGCGAGGCAGGTGGCAGAAACACTGAGCTAAATCACTGGCCCTAAGAAAATTATTATTATTAACTCTTCTCTATAACAAAAATTCATTCACCTATGATATGGAGGAAAAATTAGTTCATTCGTGCAACGGAATGTCATATAATTATGAAAGAGAATGAAGAAAATACAAACATACAGAGGTGCGTGTATCCCCTGTAATATTTTATTAAACGAACAAGCAAGCAGCAGAATAATGTATACAGTATTTCAGCTGTGTTATTTTAAAAAGCACACATCTACCTGTGTATGCACAGAAAATCCAGAAGCGTGTAAGAAATAATAATCCTACTTTTAGTGAGGAAATAGGACTTTAAAAGCTGGGAGTGGTAAAAGACTCTTACTTATTATTTAATATTTTCCAAATTGCTTGTGGTCTTTCACAGGCATTTATTACTTTGTAATTTAGAAAATGGTTATGCTCTCTGTAAAGCAACTCAGTGCAAAGGATAAAATAAAATGTGCTACATTCACAATAAAATTTTATAATGGAAGCACTACACTTCTGGAGCTGCACCCCTTAGGCCTTATTTATTTATTTATTTATTTATTTATTTATTTATTTATTTATTTATTTATTTATTGCAGTACAGAGATTGAACCCAGAGCCTCTTCAGAGTTATATCCCTAGCCCTTTTTTTTTTTTTTTAAAGTTTTGAGACAGATCTTGCTAAGTTACCCAGGCTGGCCTCAAATTTGCAATCCTCCTGCCTCAGCCTCCCAAAGCACTGGGATTTTAGGCATGCATAGTCATGCCCAGCTCTACATTCAACTCTGATACCTATGCTTAAAAGTAAGTCACATACTAAAACTTTCTTAAAATAAGTCAAAGAAGAAATACACTCACTTAATGCTCCCAATAAATTCATCAGTGTGAATCAACATTTTCCAAATGTGAACTGAGCAAACTGAAGAATTAAAGCCCTTGTCTAGAACTAATATATATTTTTGATATGGCTTAAATTTTTTGTTAATGATTCAGACTTGAAATCATAAATTTTTCCAAATCAATATCAAAAATCATTATTTACCAGCAGTTTTCTAGTTTTTTAAAAAGCAGAATAATTTGTTTATAACTAATATTTCATATACTTTGTAAATTTTACTATTGAATGCTCTTTGTAAACTATTTGAAATTATTTACTTATTAAGTACCTTATTAAGGATGTAGGATAACTGCATCATAAATTTGCTAAGATTTCCAAACTACTCTCTTATATGGAAGCTGCTATGGCTTGTGTCTAGGTGTCCCTCAAAGCCGAATGTGGTCATGGGTGGGGCTCTCTAGAGGTGGCTGGTTCTAGAGAGTGTGCTGCTGGAATTAAGTGTGCAAAGCTGGGAATAAGGGTGCCCCCCCCTTCCAGATGTTAGTGAGAGAGATAGAATATAAGGGATAGAAAGAGGGCTGTTGCTGCCTCTTCTCAACTTTGCTGCTTTGCTGCCTACCATGAACTGTTTCTCCTCTACAATGCCCCTCTGCCTGGTCATACTGCCTTGGAGCCAGCCAATTATGGACTGAAACTCTACCAACTGTGAGCTAAATAAACCTTTCCTCCTCTAACTTTGGGTAGTGGGTATTTTGTCTCAGCAACACCAAAAATAACTAAGACAGAGGCTACTAAGGAAAAGCTCCTTCTGTTATCCTCAGGAGCAAGACAATGAACAGCATCATTGGCACAGAAGGGAGGAAAGCTAAAACCACCCACATGCCTGAGGAGTCTTCCATTTGCTCAGGCAACAATCAGCTCCTATCTGAGTGAATGGAAGTGGCAGGGACTAATAGGAGAAGACAATCTAAGACTTGAGCCTAAAATATTATTTTTAAAAGCATAAAGAACAATATGAAGGAAAAGAAATACTAAGGGAAATTTCAATTATTTATGCTATAGGTAAATGTATCCCAAGTTATACCGATTAAGCCATTAAGTTTATTCTCATTGTAGGTTGGGAAAAAAGCTTTTGATTGACCAGAAACCAAAGACATAAAGAGATGAAGGGGCCATTCAAGATCCTGCTTGCAACAGGGCTCAGATGAAAAAGCAGCCAACAGGAGTGTAATAGGCAGGCTTTGGACAGTGCCCTTTCCTTCCTTCTTCTACCAGAACCCCACCTGTCTATGGAGCTCATCTCCCTGGGGCTCAAGTGTATACAGCCCAAGTGTGCTCACTGCAAAGACCTCGCCTAATCACACCCCTGCTGTCAGTCCCAGGACCACTTTGTTCCCCATGTACAGCCAGGAACAGGGAGAGGGACTGATAAGGCAAGACGGAAAGAGAAGCTCCAATCACTGTATCTGGGCTGCAGGGACAGTCAGGGCTGAACTAATGTCTACAGCTCCTACCCTCCCTGGGGCTGGACAAACAGGTTTCAAGGGCAGGACAAAAGACAGTCGTCCTCAGCATCGCCTCCAGCTCCTTACACTTTCCAAAGAGGCAAAACACAGAAAGCAGGAATCTACAGAGAATACAGACATTTGCATGCAAAATTATTGGGAAGAATAATAATGGTCATTCTTGAAAGAGTAGATTTAGAGAGCCTTTCATAATATTCTATGCTTGAGTATGAAGTAACAGGCATACACAACTTTGAAAACAAAAACAAGATAGTTTTAAGGCCTTTTGATATCAAACAAGCTGGTAAGGGTCTTATTAATGTTACACATGATGGTTACAAAATAAGAGACAGTTGGGCTGGGTCTGTAGTTTGGTAGTAGAGCACTTGGCTAACGTGCACAAGGCCCTGGGTTCAATCCCCAGTACTTAGGGAGAGAGGGGAGGTAGGAGATATTAAACAGCTTAAGTGTTTGATTTTGAAGTGTGCTATTTATAAAACATCAAACAAAACTTAAATTTTCTTTTGCTCTGATCTTTCTCATGGCTCACAGTATAAAATAATGTTTCTCTAGAAGACTGATCCAGATCCTTTGCACAAGTATAGTTCCTGTAAACTACACAAGAGTAAAAGAAGTACTCCAGGTACCAGGTCCACATACAAAGAAACACCAGATATTATAGTAACCTAAAGCATTTTAAAAATAACTCTGGAAACTGTCATTTCTGAATTTTTTTGGAACATGTTTTCATGACAGCTGAAGTTTGTGGTTAATGTATATGTTAACACATAATTAAAATGGTTACTATGAAGAAAAAGATATTTTAATGATGCTCTGAAAAGTACAAGCCACTACTTCATTTTACTATTAAAAAATGAATTAATTTGCTATATTTTATACAGTATACAAAGTAATTTCTATACTCTTTGAAACATAATTTTTTTGGAGACAGGGACTATGTAGTCTAGGCTGGCCTTGAACTCACTATGTAGCCCAGGCTGGCCTCAAACTCACAGCGATTCTCCTGCTTCAGCCTTCCAAGTGCTGGGATTAGAGGTGTGCACCAGTGCCTGGCTGAAACAGATGTTTTATCTTGGAAAGGAAAAAGCCCCAAGCTGGAGATTTAGCTCAGTGGTTCCGGGGCCTGCCTTGCAAGCGCAAGGACTTGAGTTCGATCCCCAGTACCAGGAAAAAAAAAAAAAAAAAAGCCCCACATCCAAAATCTTTTATGTCTTACCAATGATGCTGATAATTCAGTAACATGCTTTTTTTCAAGAAATCTAGCTTTTGCTTGTCTTCAGCTTTCTCTGTATGGTATGTCTTCATACAAACAAGCTTACAGGTTTCCTCATTATTAAATGTAAACTGTATTGAAAAGAAAGTGGAAGGTATTTTAAGAAAAATATCCAGGTCTTTCATAAAAATACCAAAGACAAGAATATTACTTAAGTGCATTAATATTGGCAATAAACATTTAAAAATTCTTTGTAGCTCAAACAGATCTAAATATCAATCTTAGTTTCTTTAAATACATGTCTTCAACTTTTCATTTTCTAAATTTTTCCTTTTGATATTTTCAATCTACTCACCTTTAACATAAATAAGTCCTAGAAGAAAAAGAGAAAGAAAAAAAGAAACCCACATGTAGAACAAAATGGAACATCTGTCTCTCCAAAGTAATAAGCCAGGATTATGTTTCAGAACTCTGAAGCCTTTCTTGTTATAAGCAAACGTCCAATTATTCCAACAGCCATGAAAGGCCTCTAAATGCCAGCTGATAAGACTGAGTAGTAAACGAGACAGAATGGAATAAAGTAAGAAAAAGTCATATATAGGTGTCTATAATCAAGGTAAATCTGACCCTTTACTCAAGTCAATTTTTAAGACTTTATTTAATAATGAAAGTGAAATAAAAATTGTTCTTGTTTTTTGTTGTTGTTGCTGTTTTTTTTTGTTTTTTTAAATTTTTTTTCCTTTAAAGTCCACTGATCCTCACAAAAACCTAGGAAATGCAACTAAGGAAAAAACAAATGTCCAACCAAAATCTAGGAACCCAGAGCTATAGAGGAGACGTGGCACTGGAGCACTGGGTATGCACAGGGGCAGGAGGGGTGATCCCCATGGGGCATGGCTGTCAACTGCAAGAGAAACAGGAAGGAGATGGTCCAAGGCTGAGCTGCACGATGACAGCACTGAGTTAACTGCTGCACGATGACAGCATTGAGTAGGTTGGCTTCCTTCAGTGTTTGGCTCTCATCAGCCAGCTCTTTGTTTGGAAAGGTAGTCATGAGGACAAAGCTGGTGGCAGCCATGGCTGGCCGGGCATCCATGATGAAAAGTCGGATGTCGCTGATCCTGTGGCTGTGGTTAAATTTCTGTACCAGTCTCCCACCATCGGCAAGTCAAATTTGGATGTTGGCAGTAGGCTCTGATGAACTGATTAAGACAAAAGAGCTGGCTTTGGCTTCATTTTCTGCCTGCTGGGCTGGAGAGCTGGTACTCAATACCTGGGGGGCCGTGCTGCCAAGTTTCTGGACTTCACCAGTGAAAGCTTTGAAAGCTCCCTTGGGCTTCACAAAGTCCTCATCCCGATGGTCCTCCATATCCAAGTTCACCTGCCCACCATGAGCTAACCTCCGCAGCTCTGCTGGCACCTTCCCTCTGCGGATTGACTCCACAATCTGTGCATTGGATGGGTCTTGGTAGCTTCTGAGCTCGCCATTGTCCAGGCTGAATCCACTTTTCCAGAGCTTCAGCACAACATGAACATCCTGGCTGGAATGCTGCCTCCTTTCCCCTGCCACATAAGCAGACTCTTCCTCTGGTGCTGCCCCAAGACGGTAGCCACCTCTTGCAAAGGGTCTTGGTTTACTGGTCTCTCCAGGGCTCTTGGTCACTCGCTCCACAGCTACAGCTCCGTGTTCCTTAGCACCTTTAAAGAGATCATCCACCAGCTCATTGGGACTTTTCTTCCTGGGAGGGCCAACAATCTGCTGTCCACTTCTCTCTGAGCCCCCAGCATAAAACCTCTCGCTCTCTTCCTCCTCATCTTCATCTTGGTCTTGAATAAGGTCTCTGAAGGATGTTACTCTATTATCACTGGGGGTTGCCTGTGAAATGGTCACAATGTCTTTATCCCCTCCATCCTCATAAAAGCTCGCTAGAGCGATGTGCAGGTCCCAGCCGGCCGATTCCAGGAAGAAGCAGGCCCGGTCTTCCTCAGTTCCCGTCACCGCCACAAACTCCCTCAACGCGTCCTGTCGTTCCGCGGCCATCTTCGCCTCGTGCGCTTCCCAAACCCTGTTCTTGTTTACTGAGATAGGGTTTCACTATGTAGTTGAGACTGACCTGGAACTCACTATGTAGCCCAGGCTGGTCTTGAACTCACAGCAATCGTCCTGCTTCAGCCTCCCAAGTGCTAGGATTACAGGCGTACACCACCACGCCCGGCTTAAAAATTGTTATTTCTTTAAAGATTCTTCCAATTTAAACTGGGGCCTGTTTCATGTGTGAAAAAGTAATGATGTTCATCAGGAGCCACATTTAAAAAATCTATTTCCTAGTTTTCAGATAACTGTATTTACTAACTACATGAACAGTGGATTGTATAAATCTCTTAATAAATTCAAACTTTACTGCAGATGTTAAAAACTGTGTATGTTTCACTTCTAAGGAGTCCACTGTTTTATACATTGTATACATCCTTAACCCAGCTGCTATCCATTAGCAGAGGAGCAAGTTTAAGTGTGGCCCACTGCTGCCATCTGCCAGCCAACAGTTTAATTTCGCCACACTGCTGCCTGGCAATAGAGTAATAATCGCTTTTTGAAACAAACCTTAAGAGATTCACGTTTTAAAACTATAAACTAGGAAAGCAAAAGTATACACATTACGGAATTAGCAGCACAGGACACCAACCTTAAAACAAATAAGGAGGAAAAGCAAGGGGGAGAGAGAGAGATGGGGGGGAGACAGAGATGAGAGGGGGAAGGGAGGAAGGGGACAGAGGGAGGGGGGGAAAGACGGGGAGAGGGAGCGGGAGGGGGAGAGGAAGGGGCGAGGGGGAGGGAGAAAGAACATGAATGAGCCACACCAAAAGGGCAAATCGTACACCTCAATCAAAGCCGAGCGGGTTTGGGTGAGTCAACCCAGGAGTTCAATTACAAAGAGACATATCGAGACCAAGGATGGAAGTGATTAATAACAGTCAACATTTACTCAGTGCCTCCTGTGTTCTGTGCACTTAAAAATATCATCTCATGTAATCCTCCCAACAACCCCATGAGGAAGATATTCATCCGTAACTTACAGATTAGGAAATCAAAGGACAAAAAGTCATACAACTAAGAAATGGCAGAACCAGGGCTCAACCCAAGCAGGCTGCACTCTGGAGAAGATGCTCTTAGTTATGACACCCTACTGCCTCTCACTGTAATATATTTTGTTGGGAAAGTTCTAATAGTTTAAATTATCTCTGGGTATGGATTTAATAAGGCTATGTTTTGTTAAAGGTTTGAAAACATTAAAGGAACCAAATCTTCCTTATAACATGCAAGCTCCCCATTATTCTACTTTTATACATTCAAATAAAATATAAGAAGGGTGTAATTTATATAGGACAATGTTTTATTGTAATTTTTCTTGAATTATTCAGCGTGGGCTTAAAAGTCTGTGTAGAACAGTTCTGTGGAAGGCATTAAATCAAATACTTGATAAACCTAGAATCAGGCCTGGGCACGAGGCTAGCTCGATAAGACCTTGGCAAGCTGCCTAGTTCTACCTTGGCTTCAATAACTATCTGTAAAATGGGTTTAATAATGCAGTGCAGGAACGTTGCATTAAATACCAAAACACGTCAGAGCACTGATGCTGACAGAAACAGGCGTCTACTAAATGACAGTTATTATTACATATCCTGTCACTAGCTTTTAGCAAATGGCAGAAAAATTATATCAAAGCCCTTCACACTCTGAGGGGGATACCATGGACTCCTGCAAGACCTAAGCAGGCTTCACTGCCTGGAGACCACCAGGACCCATCCCCTGGGCCTCGTTTCTCTTAATGTTTGTCACCACAGAAGTGCAGGTCCCTATGGCATTCTCCTTTCCCACTTCTCCATCCCAAGATGGATACGGACCCACCTTCCGGACACCAGCTTGCACCCCTCCCAACCCTTACCCCTTGCACGTGCTCCTTGGAACTCAAGCATCACCAGCAGAAGCCATCATGTAACCTCAACCACTTCTCGGAATGTTCTCTGAAACCTGTCCTAAGGCAAACCTGGCCCTCCCGAGGGACACGCTTCACCACAGCAGCACTCACGGTGGTTGTTTTCTTCCAGAGGCCATTGCGCTCGGCCAGCTGAAACCCTCAGGCTGACTCATGCCATGAGACACATCCCGCACCTTGTGCTGCCTACCAACAAACGCCTCAGTCCTGGGCGATTTCAGGTCCTGCCTCCTGATTCCTGGTAACTGTAACATTTACATAAATGTTGCTTTCCACACACTCTCAGTCTTAGTCACAATTGTGTCACTGGGACAAAATACCCAAACTTAAAGGAGAGGTTTATTATGGTTCACAATTTTAGACCATGGCCAGCTGGCTCCAGGGCAAAAAGAGGATGGCAGAGTGGCATGGCAGAGAAAAAGGCACTTTACCCCTGGTGGCCAGGAAGCAGATAGCAGGGAGAAGCCGGAGACAAGAATACATCCCTCGTGGTCACGTCGGAGACCACATCTGCCTAGGCCTCACTGCCTAACAGCACAGCTAGCCTCTGAACTCCTCCATGGATGAATCCACCGGTGTGTGGTACTCTTGGGATCCAAGCTCCTTTCACACACATGAAAATGGAGGGAAGTGAAGCCTGGTCAGAGGAGGTGGTCACTAGGGGTGGGCCTGGAAGGGTCTGTCTCCCTCCCTCCTCCCTCCCTTGCTCTCTCTCTGCTTCCTGCTTGCTATGCCAGGAGCTGTTTCCGCTCTGCCATGCACCTTGCCTTAGAGCCAGCCAACTATGGACTGAAACCGGCACGAACTGTGAGCTAAATGAACCCTTCCTCCTTTGCCGTGTAGGTGCTGGGTGCCATCTCGGCACTGAGAAAGTAACTCAGACAACTGTCCTCTTGGTTCTCTGACCTCTTCCCCGGCTGCTAACCTTCATCACACTTCAAAGCACTCCCTTCCCTGTCCTCATTCCTCTGCCATCTCAATGTCAGTTTTCCAGTATCAAACTACCGCCTCCTGTTTTCCCAGTTCACCGGCTCAAGTACTCCTCAACTCCAAGACCTGGACACCCAAAACAAATGATCCTATGGTCCTTTTACTGTCCGCCCCCCTGCAAGCTCAAATTGTACGGGCAGTGGTGTCACCACCTTTTGTATGTCCTCAGAAAATTTGGTCTTCTCTCACATTGTTGTACTCATTTGTCTGAGCACAAACCTGGTTAAATTCAACTCTATAGCAGCACAGCCGAAAAGAGCTGGAGAAACAAATCAGCACCCAGACAGTCTAACTCCAAATCATCCTCTAGTTCAGGGGCGGTTAATGTGCCAGTAATCACTCTGCAGACCTCTGATCCACTCTCCTACCAATTCCTCCTTCCTCAAACCTGCACCTCTCCTTTGCCCTCTCCCTCTCAGAGGATGACCATGCTTCCTGATTCACTGAGAAATCTGCAGCAGTCACCACAGTCACCTTCTAGCATCGCATCCTCCTTACCATGGGTTAGCTGGGTCATGGAGGCCAACTTCCGCACGGGGACGCTAGGTCCCACCCCTTCTTTCCTGTACGAGGGCACACTCAGCAATCCCTGTCTTCACATCATCACTCTTCTCACCTTTACTGGATCACCTTCAGCCATACACAAACCTTCTTAAAGATATAGAAAGTTCTTGTTCACATCATGCCCCCTCCAGCTACCATTCTTTTTCCCGCCGTGCCTCCAACACACAGGTGCCCAATGGAGCTGTAAGTATGTCCATCCACACAGGTCTTCCCACTATCTCTCCATGTGGCTACTCTACCACAACTGCTTTTTCATCAGTGACTTGCACACTGGTCAAGCCACTGTCCCTACTGTCCTGATCTAGCAGTGAACTCTTTCTTATGTTGGTTTCCAGGAACCATACTTTCCTCAATTTGCTGCCTTCTCACACCTTCACCCTCTCAGCCTGTAACACTAATTAGGTGCTTCAGGGCTTGGACCTTGGAATTGTTTCCTCTATCTACCTCCTATCCACTCCTTTCAGAATCTGCTCTATTCCGTGGCTTTAAAGTACCATGTATGCCCTGATGATTCTCTCCAGAGGGAGGGCGGGTGGGAGGGAGCAGACAGGAGATGGGGGAAGAGGGAAGAGAAAGAAAGAGAAGAGAGGGCTGGGGATTTAGCTCAGAGGTTCTGCAGCCTGCCTGGCAAGTGCAAGGATCCAAGTTCAATCCCCAGTACCAAAACAAACAAACAAAAAAGGGGGGAAGACAGACAGACATACAGAGAGACAGAGAAACAGCTCCATCTCCAGACACATATATGTAATTGTTCTTTCAACATTTCTAGCTGGATGCCTACTCAACACTCCACATTATGACCATTATTTTTCCATTTCTTCTAAACCTGCTGTTGCCCCAAGATTCTCACCTTAGAAAACAAACTTGACAATCTATACCCCAATTCTTTTGGCTCCACTTTCAGACAGGTTCTAAGATACTAACGACTTCACAATCACTCCTCCAGCTTCAAAGTCTAAGTCACCACCAGCTCTTATCTGGAAGGCTGTGGAACCTAACTGGTCTTCCAGCTTCTCTCTTTATGCTCCTGTGGCTCATCATCAACATGGGAGCCAGAGTGGGTCTAGTGAAATCCAAGCCTACACAAAGCCCTCCAACGTTCGCCATCTTGCTCAGAGGTAAAGGTCAAAAGGCTCTGCAGTGGCTTACAAGCTACTTTGTGAAGCAATCCCGTTACTTCTTTGTCCTCATCTCCGACTACGCTGTTGCTCACCTGCTCCAGTTGTACTGACGTTTTCCTGTACCTTGAACACACCAGGCAAGCTCACACCTTGGGACCCTGGTATTTGCCTGTCTCTTCACCTAGAACGCCTTCCCCCAGGTATTCACACATGGCTTACTCCCTTATCTGCTTCAGGTCTTTTATTCAAATGTCACCTTCTCAGCAAGACTTCCTAAATTTACATTTTTAAATGTCACCTTCTCAGTAAGCTATTTAGAGTTGCAAATTCCCAGTCCACTTTCCCTGATTTATTTTTAGTAGTTCTTTTTCCCCCTCAATAACACACTACAACTTTAGTGCTTATATTGTTTCCATTTCCTCATCACAACAGGAGATGCACTTAGGCACAGATTTTTGTCTTGTTCACTGCTAACTCCCACACCTATAATATACCCTGGTACACACAACTTAGCCAACAAACTTGTTAACCAAGTGAATGGAGGAAATGAGCAGTTAAGACTTTAGTTATTATGGGCCTAATCAATACGGCCCTGGGTTCACACAATACACACAATGCCCTACAGTCTTCTTGTCCAGGAAGTGAGACACAGAAGATGGCAAAGTAGCTTTGAAGTTTTATTTTGTTGTTGATAGTTACCATAGTTTTGCTATAAATCTAAAATAAGGTTAAAACATCATTTGAAAATAAAGACAAAAGAATCAAAATGAAATGAAAAATACTGTTCAATACATTTATGGCTCATTTGGAAAGAAACACCTGATCTCTCAGCCACAAGTTTCTGAGTTCCTATGCCCTGGCCATAGAGTGCCTGCTCTGTCCCTTCTTTATTTGGGAAAACCTCTCCCCAAGTCCCAATGTTTAAAATTGTTAGCATTTTGAGAGTAGAAAACATCAGTTTGAAATATGTGCAGAAGATACATTTACGGATGGAAACTATAAACCTGAGGTGCGTAGGCTCGCACAGTGGTGTCTCTCCCTCCGGGGCTGCCCAGTTTATGTCCAGGCGCTGGACGGAATAAGATGACTGTGCAATGGATGCAGGCTCTGGGATTTCCTGCACACAGTCCACGTACTAAAGTGCATGGGGGTGGGGAGCTGAGTGAGAGATAGGCAAGGTAGCAACGCATGAGGTCTCAGACGTGGGAAGAGGAACAGGAAGCCAGGAGAAAAAGCTGTCGGCCCTGGCCCGGGCTGAGGAGAAAAACCCGGAGTCAAGTTACAGCCATTAAAGTGAGTGGTTCTCATGTGGTCAGTTAAAGAGTAAAAGGAAAAAGGCAAAGTACAGGAAAATAGATTAAAACAAAGAAAAGTAAATCCAATTTTATATAAGCTTATACGCATATAGAAATTTCCAGGAAAGATCAACAGGAAATGAAAGAGGAAGCAGGGGAATAGAGACGTACTTTGTTCATTTCCTATTATTCTGTACCAATTTATTTTTTATATAGTGGTATGTTACTATAAACTAATTTTTCGAAAAGAGAAAGACCACTGTTCTTTGTGCAGTGGGAGAGCAGAAATAAAATGGAATGGGGGACTGCAATGTGGAAGGAGAACAGACTTAAAAGGGAAGATAGTGGTGGGAGACGAACTGACTGAGAGAGCACCTCATACCGTGCCGAGTTTGGCTTCACTGGTGTGCCAAAAACTGTGTCAGACACGTTCCAGACACTCTTTCAACAATCACAATAGAAAGACTAACTTCCAGAAAAGCCAGGCAGTGCAAGTGCTTTTCTAAGGACAAGCTGTCTGGGGCAGTGCTTCAAACGGGGAGTTGACACAGAGCAGCAGGAACAGGTCTTCGTGACCTTCAGGGATGAGCAAGGTCCCCCTGTAAGGTGGGTGGGGTGGGGGCAGTCTCTTTAGGCCACCACCTTATCACTTATAACACTGGTTGTATGAATGTTCACTAAGACATGCTCATCAGCGACATGTTGTGAGGACAAAGATCTTTTCAAACTGTGACCTTTAGCTATGACAGCTAAATTAATTCAGCCATTCTCAAAATGCATAACAAAGCAAAACATTTTTTTTAAAAGAGACTAATTTTTACATAACACTAAATACCAACCTTATATGGGGAGGGTTCAATTCTTTCTCCAAACAATACTTGACCAAGATTTTCAGATGGACGTTTTCCTTCTGATGCTTGGCAAAAATCAAACCTGAGGGAAGAGTGCTTAAGTTTTTAAATATAGAACATCAAACATCTGGCCACTCTTGAAAGATTAGTAGCTCTTGTAGATGAGTAAGAAATATATTTATATTTCAAGACCCCTGAGCCACAACTCCAAAAGAACAGAAATACTCCAAATTACAACTCAGAATACTCTAATTTATAAATAATACTTTCATTAAAATGTTAATTATGGAACTTAAAAAGTTGACACATAATTTTTGTTCAAATTATAAAATCATTTACAACCATATTCAAGTGAATTTTTCAGAACCTATCTCCTTTTGTTATAACTTGCTGATCCAAATCTTTACTTAGAAATGACATTTCAGCAAGATGTGTTGAGTCTACCTGCTTCTCCCTAATACACTGGCCACCATGTCCCAGTAGAAGCAGAGGCTATACAGAAAACCCTGAGAAAACAGCCATGGAAAGGTATACTCAGTCACCTGTGAGATTCTCTGTGCTGTGATCCCCTTATATTTTCAATTGATTTCAATAGAGTTTTGTTTAAACATTACAGTCTAATTTGAACTTTGCCACAGAACATTAAAGAACAATTCTTTCTTCATCCGAGAATGATATGGGGAGTAGTTGCCAGTAATGGCAACAGATTAGTGAGATTCCCAAAGAGGAAAATGAATGTCAAGTGATAAAAATGAGCTGGACAGAATACCTATCTACCAAATACAAAAGATCCACTGAATTTTTCTAATAGCCACAAAGATCCAAGTAGAGATGCAAGTTCACTTAACAAAAGAAAAAAAAAAAAAACCTAGAAAAAGTATCTGTGTCCAACAGTGACATAAATTACAGTCCATCCACTCATGAATTATGTACTCTCTTCTTGGGTACACAGATTCTTACAGGATAGTCTTACATTTTGTGTATGCTTTTCTCTATAATGTATACACTACATTGTTTTTTCTCTTAAAAAAAAAAGGAGAGGAGAAATTGAACTTAAACCAAAATATAGAAACTGCTGTATAGCTAACATGGATTACAGTGGTCAAATAAACACAAGATTTTTATGCAGTACTTTCCATAATATCAAAAACTAGAAATCAAATATTGATAAACTGGGAATTAAAAAGCAAACAGATCATGGAATATATACAACTTCTATGATGGAATAATAAATAGCTACTAAATAGAAGTCATTGCATAGTAATAGGGAAAGATGTCTATAACATATACAAGAAAGAAAGAAATGGTACAAACCAAAGATAACAGTATGAGCCTACTTTTATTTAAAACAAAAATGTATAAATGTGAATACAGTATTAGAATGTTTAGAGAAAAAGCAGAATGTTGATATCAAAGTAGTTCTTTCAGGAAATTGATGACATGATAGACAAAAATTCTGTCTAAAAATATATGAGGTATTTAATCATTAAAAATTTAAAAGTACAGAGTTTTTGTACAGATGGGTGAAAAGAGGGAATCCACTATTTTAGTTGGTGCATCTTCTGTATTGCAAAGCAACATGAGAAGATGATCACAATTTAACCTTGGCAAAACACATTTTAAAAAATGTGTTCAGGCTTCATGCATTTTTTTTTAATGCATACAAATTTACTCTTAACTGTAAAGAAAATGGAATTCTAGGCACACAAAATTCTGATGACTCACATAAACTTTATATAAAAATGAAGCTGAAAAACTTACGCTGTATATTCATAAGGAAGAACAGATTCCACTGAGTCAAGCCTGTTCACAAATAGTTCTATTTCAGCCTGAAAATGAGGAAACACAGAACTAAGATACAAACAATTTGCAATACAGGCATAAGTCATGCTTAGGACTGAAAATAGTTGAAATGCTTAAAATGTGAAGTTTTATGATGTTCAACTTACCGTAAATACAACAAAACAATTTTCAGAGTTGCAAATGTATGTAATATTTAAATTTTTTAAAGTTCCTCTTTGTTGTTTTTTGAGACAGGATCTCACTATGTAGTTCAGGCTGGCCTTGAACTCACCATGTAGCTCAGGTTGGCCTTGAACTCATGGCAATCCTCCTGCCTCAGCCTCTGGAGTGCTGGGATTATAGGCATGCACAACCATGCTTGGTCTTTTTTATGCTCTAAATTTTCTAAAACATTAAATGACATATTTTAAGCCAAAAACATGCGTCACATTAATATAAGTGCTGTTTTTAGAAACCTGGTTTCCAAATCCAGTATTTCATTCTGCAACACAAAAATAATTTTTAAACATTCTCACTGCAACCAAGAAGTGTTGCCAAGTTCATTAGAAATTACCAGTTCAATTATACAGGAAACACAATCCCATGCACACATGTACTCTGAAGCAGCCAGGAGACAGACAATGAATGACGACATGGTTTAACTTTGGAGGACTGCTTTGATCAGTTTAAGAATGCTGAAGCGCAAGTTACAACAGTGAAGTTCACAGTGACCAGATCAAGTTCAACAATGAGGAGAACTGCTGTATCAACTTCCCGGGAAACACAGGCGAACGCATGTCACACCTTTCTACCGAAGCTTCCAAAATATATCCTAGGTACAGATGAAGTTCCACAGGACCCCAAGACTTACCCACCTTCTCAAATCACTGACACTCATGACAGAATCGACTAGCTGAAGAACTATGAGTCATTTGAGTCCTGAAATACTTTTGATGCTAACCAAAAATTCATGAAGAGGGAGATGGTATTTACCCAGGACAGGTAATATTAGAGTCAGACCACTGTAGCTGCTATGGATTGGATCAGGAGGCTACCTGGCATGGCACAAAGCCACCCTTGGCATTTTGAATCTCACTGACTAGCACAAGTAGACAAGATATCTGAAGTATAGTTAAACCACACTGTATGGCCATTGGCAAAGCAGCAAAACAAGCAGGTAAGAGTCCACCTCTGAAGCCGACTGCCTGCATCCCGAGCCCGATGCCATCACTTACTAACTGTCATTTTTGTCAAGTAATTTAAGATGTCAGCTTCCTCATGGGCGCTTTAGCTTCCTTATCTGCAATAGGAGTAGGTGGATTAAGCAACAGCATTTACAAAATATTTCACAGTGCCAGATAATGAAGGGCTATGTACTTCTAAAAGCCAAGAAATTAATGACACTAGGTATATGGAAAGCCTAAACTATAGTGCCCACCTAAAAATGCTTACCCAATATCCCAGTTTTATGAAGGAAAACATCAGCATTTGTTTACAGTCTCATATACAATCCCTACAACTCTACTTAAATGAAATAGCAACTCAATGGCCACAATGCCACTGACACACACGAAAAAGTAATTGTCTTCTTGCACAAAATATTTCAGACTAAATCACTGGTCATTTTACTAAAAAGATGATGGGACTCAACATTACAGCATGCTTGAATAATTAAAAGGAAAAACTATGTAACTGTTGTGAAGGCAAAACTCCCAGTTGACAGCTTCCTCTGCCAAAATAATTTTCACTAATTGGAAGGGGTCAACACTGCTACAAAGATACATCACAATTCAAACGATCTATTTAACATATCTTAATGAAGACAGAAAGGTCCCTAAAAAGCTACGCCCGTTTACATCTCCAAGGAAGGAACGGAGCTACTATAGGCTACAAAACTTTGTATGCTTTCACATTATCTATTATATATTTTGGTCCTTATTTACCCTTTCAGTTTCTCACACCAGAGAGATAATTCAATATTTACACATCTGATTTATTTAACTTAAAAGAGTATAGTCTCAATTTGTATACATTTGGCTATAAAGTTTATATATTTGGCTGAGTAGTACCCCATTATATAAAAACCCACATCGTTTTTATCCATTCATTGGTTGATGGGCATTTGGGCTATTTCCAAGATTTAGCTATCATAAATTGTGTGGATATAAACATGGGTGAGCATATACCATTGTGGTATGATGCTTTTTTCTTTCAGGAAGATACCCAGAAGGGGAACAGCTGGGTCATATAGGACCTTTAATCCTAGTGTTTTGAGGAATCACCACACCAATTTCCACAGTGGTTGCACCAGTCTGTACTCCCAACAGTGGGAGAAAGGTTCCTTTTTCCTCACAGCCCCGCCAGCATTTGTTTTTGGTTTCTTGGTATCAGCCATTCTTTCTGGAGATGAAATCTCAGCACTATTTTAATTTACATCTCTCAAATGGCTAGTGGTGTTGAACATTTTTTCATGTATTTATTTGCTGTTTGTACTTCTTCATCTGAGGAGTGTCCCTTCATTTCAAATGCCCTTTTTTGATTGGGTCTTTAAATTTGGGAGGGGTCTGATTTGTTCGCAATTCTTTATATGTTCTAGATACTAGCCCTTTGTTTGAGGGACTACTGGCTAAAAGTATTTCCCACTCTGTGGGGTATCTCTTCATTCTGTTGATTTCTTTTGCTGTGCAAAAGCTTTTTAATAGGATGAGATGCCAGCTATTGAATCTTTGTATTATTTTTCACTCTGTCTGAGGTTTTTTTGTTTTGTTTTGTTTTTTTGAGACAGGGTCTCACTATGTAGTTGACACTGACCTGGAACTCACTATGTGCCCAGGCTGGTCTAGAACTCACAGCAATCTTCCTGCCTCAGCCTCCCGAGGGCTGGGATCACAGGCCTGCGCCACCATGCCTGGCTTTTTGTTCATGAAGTATTTGCCAACTCCTATGTCCTCAAGTTTTACCTATTCTCTCTTCCAGAAAATTTAGTTCGTGTTTTAATATTTAGATCTTTGATCCATTTTCATTTTAGTTTAGTGCATAGTGAGAGATATGGGTCTAATATTTGACATGAAGAATGCTAGTTTTCCCAGCACACTTATTAAAGAGGCTATCTTTTTTCCAGTAAATGAGTTTGGCTCCTCTGTCAAAGATAAGGTGGCTGGCAGTGTTTGGGGTTGTGCATCTTCTAGTCTGTTCTACTGATTCTCAGGTCTGTTTCTTTGCCAGGGCCATGCTGTTTTTATCACAGTCACTCTGTAGTATAATTTCAAGTCAGGGATCATGATACTCCCTCCTTTGCCTTGGTTGCCCAGAATTGTTTTTGCTATACTAGGTTTCTTCCGGTTCCAAATGAATTTTACGAATGTTTTCTCTAGTTCTGTGAGGTATGCTAGTGATATTTTGATTGGGATTGCATTAAATCTGTATAACAATTTTGGGAGTAAGGTCTTATTCACTATGTTCTTCCTACCCAAGAGCAAGGAACATCGCTCCATTTTCTGATATCCTCTTTGATTTCTTTTTCAGAGTACTATAATTTTTAGTGTAAAAGTTCTTTACTACCTTTGTTAGATTGACTCCTAAGTATTTCATTTTTCTCAATGCTATTGCGAAAGGTGTTTCTCCAACTTCTTTCTCAGTGAGTTTGTTATTTGTGTACAGTAAGTTTTAAGTATTGACTTCGTATCCAGCTACTCTACTGAATTTGGTTATTTAAATGTGGAAGTCTTTTGGAGGAGTTTTTGGGGTCTTTGATGTAGAGAATCATGTCATCTGCAAATAATGATAATTTAACTTCTTCTGTCCTGTCTATTCCTTTTATTTCTTTCTCTTGTCTTACAGTGCCTAGTACAAAGTGCTATGCATTTACTGTTATGTAGCAACATCTAACAAAATTTAAAGCAATAATGGAAATGTTCTTTATTTGCACGGTGCAATAATAGAGTAGCCTCTAGCCACACACAGCTACTGTGCACTTTAGGATGTACTGGGCATTTAAGATGTGGTTGGTGAGACTACAAAACTTAATTTTAAGTTTTACTTATTTTTAATTAAATTTAAGCAGTCATAGACGGCTAATAGTGTCTCAACTTATGTAACAACTCTTTGTGTGCTTAACATTTTTACCCTAGGCACTGCATTTTGTCTGTCCCTTGAAAATAACTAATTTTTCTAGTTTAGTCTAGGAGTTAGCAAGCTTTCTCTGTAAAGGGCCAGAGAGTAAACATTTTAGGTTTTACAGGAAGACATCCTGCCTCTAGCCTCATAGTGTGAAAGCAGTCACCAATCATATGTAAATGCATGATCATGGCTGTAGCCCAATAAAACTTTATTATGGGTTCTCAAATTTGATTTTTATGTAATTTTCACCACCACTAAATAATATTCTTTTGTTTCCAACTCCTTAAAAAATGTAAAAACAATTCCTAGCTTGACAGCCCTACAAAACCAGGCAGCAAGCTAGATTAAACTCTGAGTGTTGCTTTCTAGCTATTTGTTGGAGGGGTCAGTACAGGTACAAGGTTAAAAGACCTGAGGCCATAGGACACTGCTCAAGGGCATAAAGAGTTACAGTAAACGTATCTATCCAGTGAATGACAAAGAATTTGTACTTATCGTACCATGTCCCCTCTGAAATTTCACAGTTCATTCTCAGGCTACAGGATTGCAAAACTGAGGCAAATTATTCTCATTTTCTGACTTCCCTCATATCTCCTTAAAGCAATTTTTATTAGCATGTTTGCATATATAATAAATATCCTCATCATGGGGTATTGGTACGTATACATACATCAATATTCTTTTCCACCCCTCCCTCCCATTTTCCCCATCCTCAGATTCATTCTGCGAATTTTAATCCTTCAAAACTGAAACACCTCAATCTTTGGAATCACTATGTTATTGATCACACCAGCTGATTCTTCTAAGACCTTGTCATAGTCTCATCTCTCTCAGCAGGGATGTCATACAGAATTACAGCAAAATTCCAGGTTTAGACAATCAGAATTATGGTGTCTTCATTAGCCATTTGTCCCTAAGTACATATCCT